CTGTGGGACACCGCTCACGTCAGCTCGTAACGGGTGTCCCCCTCCAGGTGGCAGGTCCCAGTGCGAGCCCATGGGTCTCTGTGCTGGCATCCAGGCATGGCCACATGTCCCTGGGCATGGCCACGCATCCCTGGGCATGATCATGCATCTTTTGGCACCGCCATGTGTCCCTTGGGCATGGCCCTGTGTCCTTTGGGTATGGCCACACACCCCTGGGGCTACAACAAACACAGCTCTGGCCACAGAGAAGGGTACGAGCGCACCCCCTCGGCTCAGCCTCCCCAAATTCCCAAGCAGGGACTGACACCCCCCATCTGGGGATGTCTCCTCCTGGGTCTCCAGCCCAGCCACTGCATCCAGGCCAGCGCGGTGCCGGAGCGTGCCACCGAGGGCCAGGGAGCCAGGGGGGCCTTCCAGGGACCCCCCCAGCCTCGCTGGGGACAGAAGCAGGGACCCCAAATCACCCCTGAGCTGGTGGCATGGACACCTAGGGGGTGCCAGTAACGTGCCCCCCCTCACCCCGCTCCATCTGGGGGGTGCCAGGGTGGATTTGAGGCGGTGACTGGGTCCCCAGCAGGGCCCTGTGGGCTGGGTGGGAGCCATGGGGTTGGACAGGACCCGGGGGGCACACAGAGGGCAGAGGAGGGGGTGGGCAGTGCCGTATCCCCAGCCCTGGGCGTGTTCCCGGGGCCAGCGGGGACAAATCTGCAGCATCACGTCCCCTCCCCACCCCGCCCCCCGGCGCTTTGTTGTGCTGAGGGGGACGGGAGCTGAGCACGGCCAACTCGTGTCACCGGTGACCCGCTCCCGTGCGGCCCTGTCCGCCCCCAGGAGCTCCCACACGAGGTCCCCATGAAGGTCCACGTCTGAGGGCAACCCCAGCCTACGCAGGAGCGTGGGGCTGCCCTTGGAGACCCTGCTTGGACACCCTGCTTGGGAGTCCACCTTGCATGGACACTTTGTATGGGTGCCCACCTTGCATGGGTGCCCACCTTGCTTGGGTGCCCACCCTCCATGAGTGCCCACCTTGCTTGGACACCTTACTTGGGTGCCCACCTTGCATGGGTGCTCCCCTTGCATGGGTGCCCACCTTGCTTGGGTGCCCACCCTCCATGAGTGCCCACCTTGCTTGGACACCTTACTTGGGTGCCCACCTTGCATGGGTGCCCACCTTGCTTGGGAGCCCACCTTGCTTAGGAGCCCACCTTGCTTGGACACCTTGCATGGGTGCCCACCTTGCTTAGGTGCCCACCTCAAATGGGAGCCCCCCTTGCTTGGACACCTTGCTTGGGTGCTCACCTTGCATGGGAGCCCACCTTACTTGGGTGCCCACCCTCCATGAGTGCCCACCTTGCTTGGGCATCTTCCTTAAGTGCTCACCTTGCATGGGTGCCCACCTTACTTGGGTGCCCACCCTCCATGGGTGCCCACCTTGCTTGGGCACCTTCCTCGAGTGCTCACCTTGCATGGGTGCCCACCTTGCACCCTGTTTGGGACCCATTCAAGCACCCCACGTGGGGCTGGAGGCCAAGCAGGTCCTGCCCCGGGATCACTCGCGTGGCGACACGTACCTTGTACCTGGTGGCCAGCAGCTCCGTGGCCTCCTGCTCCCTCCGCAGGTCCTCTATCATCTTCTCCTTCTCCTGCAGCAGCTTCTGCTTCTCCTCGCTCACCAGGCTGTGGTCGTCCTGGATAGCGGCCTTCTCCTCTTCCAGCCTCTCCTTCTGCTCCTTCAAGTAATTCTCCATGTTCTTCTCCAGGCCACCGTCCTCGTTGTCGTCCTCCCCTTCGTTCTCCACGGCGCCTTCCCCATCCACCGCCTTCTTCCTCCGGCTGCTCCTCCTCCTCTTCTTCCCCAACATGCCCCGTTTCTCCAGCTGGGCCTTCAGCCGGACGATCTCCTCCTGAAACTCCCGCAGCAAGGTGTCCTTGGGGTCCTCGTTCACCCGGGGCTTGTTCTTGATGTTCTTGGCCCTGTTGGCAAACCTGAGAGTGGAGAGGCTCTCCTCGTAGCTGTGAGAGGCCGGGCCCAAGGTGGCCACCATGATGGTCTTGGCGTTGCCCCCCAGGGAGTCCTGCAGCAGCCGGGTCAGCTTGGAGTCCCGGTAGGGGATGTGCGTGCTCTTGCCGTCCACCAGCGCCGAGATGACGTTGCCCAGGGCGGAGAGGGAGAGGTTGATTTTGGAGGCTTCCTTGGGGCGTTCTCCTTGGGCCCCCATTTTGCTCTGACGCTCGCTGCCGGCCAGGTCCACCAAGTTGAGCTTGCCGACGCGGATGTGCTCCTCGCCGTCCGGCCCTGTCTCGCTGCACTCCACGGTGATGAGGAAGATGGCGTGGGAGCGGGAGCTGTGCTCGTTCATGTTGGTGCTGCCCACCGAGCGCGTCTGGCTCCCCAGGTTCATCACGTGCTCGATCTCCTTCACGTTCTTGGTGACGAAGGAGGACAGGTCCTTGATGTACACCCCCGTCTCGGGGTTCTCCTTCAGCTCCAGCTTCTTACTCTGGTCCTTGGCAAGGAGGTCCCTGATCTCCTCCTGGTAGATCTCCAGGTACGAGGCCCTCACCAGGTACTGCTGGTTCTGGGAGCGGGAGATGTGGGTGAAGATGTGCTCGAAGGAGATGGGGATGATGCCCCGCTTCTCCGGCTCCGCCCAGGCCCCCTGCATGGTGTAGGTCTTGCC